GTGGCAGCGTGCAGGGCTTGGGTGATGTCGTGCTTCACTTTCCCCAGGTGAGGGTGCCCTGCCGTAGGGTAGACTAGCGACAGGGCGATCTTCCCTTTCGCCGGATCAACGCGGACGCTCTGTGTCAAACGTGATGGAAATAATGTTTGAAAGGGGAGGGATTGAAGCCCGGTGGGCAATACATTCATACTCGCGTCAGACTCACGCTCGGCGACTTGCGCGACGCCGTTACAATATCACGAGAAACATGCGAAATCAGATGACCCCTTTCCTAGCCACTTTTGAGTTTCTTTCCGCAGTCTTCAGCCGATATTTACCTTGACCAGGCCTAAGTCCACAATGGAGCGATTTGGCATACACGGATCAAAAACAGTCGCATCCAGGCACCTCAACACTTTGTCTTGTAATTCAGCCATCTCCCGGATATCAAATTGGCCAGCATTAGACGAAGAGAATCGGAAAAGGTTATACAATACCCCCAAGGACGATGACTTGAGGGGCGGCGATGTGCATAGGAGGAGTGATACTCCATGACTCTTTGGAAGGTCACGCTGGCAGGAAAGGCGGACGGCGCGGACAGAACAGCAATGCCGCATTTTAGAAAACATATCTGTTCTTCGTATGCATAAAGCGGTTGTGTGACGAATGAAATGAAAACAGGAATTAAAAGAATTATCAGAACAAGACTCAACACGCGGTCGCCTAGCCAGGAGGTTAAACTTTGCGCCCAAAAAATAATAAATACGCCTTACCCCCCGCGATCCGCGTATGCTCATTCCAAGACGCGAGAGAGTAGTTATTACATTATAAACAAATCTGTTTGGAAGGATAAGCGAGAGAACCTGAAGTGCGCATTTTCAAAAGCGCAGCTCGGCACTCAGGGGAGGTTAGGAGCGAGAGCTTTTATGCCGAACGAAGTATAATCGAAATACATTGCGGCTATGACCGTCCCTTCAAAATGCTGCCTTACGTTTTCTACTCCTTTCGTTTCGTTTCGTCCGGCACTCCTTTGCGCCCGGATTTTCATATGGTCGCTCTCACTCGGTCGAGTCAGTCATTCGAGAGGCAGAAATATACTTCCTATCACATATAATGGCATCCACTCCTTCCGTTCGACCATCATCTCAAAACAAAAAAGTAAGGATGGACTTCATTTGTGTTGTCACTTCGAGTGCAGGGCGCACAATCCGTGCTGTTTCCGATATTGCTCTCTCAAGCTCTCTTCAGGGCTCCGAGTCTGCGGTGAATTCTAATTGCGTGCACACACACAGTAACCTCAAATTATATCGCTGGTTTCTCCTGCACCCGTCAATGCACCAGACTTTCTATGTTTATCATTTGGCATGGCAGGCTGGGCAGATGCGGACGGCAGGATCGATTCCCCATCGCAAGACCAGGGGCCGCCAAGCGGAGGGGAAAGAAACGCCGAAGGTTCTTGACTCGATGCGGGTTTCACCCGACGAATCATCCATTTGCCAACCTCCACGATGCACAAATGCAAGACAATGGCAATCAAGACCTTGATCCATGCGCGGCCATTGATGGGGACGAGACCGAAGACGGCGTTGAAGCCTGGAACATAGATGCCCGCAACCACAGCAGCAACTGAGAGGGCGCTGCCGCCCAGCAGCCAGACATTTCCTAAGAACATTTCTCCCGGGCCTGAAGTAAGCAAAGAATTGCGAATGGAGCGTGACATGAAGGAATGGGCGCATTGGGTGATGAAAATGACGGCAAAGGCCTCCGACCGCGCTTGCTCCACCGAAAGCTTTTCCACGTCCAGGCAAAATGCGTAGCTACCAAAGGAGAGGAGGCCAATCGAGAGTGCCTGAGCGATCAAAGCGAGGGTGTACCGCTTTCCCACTATCGCTTTTTCGGGGTTGCGGGGCATGCGGCGCATGGCATCGGGCTCGATGTCTTCCGCCCCCAGGGCTAACGATGGGGGAATGTCGACAACGATGTTGGCGTACAGGATTTGAAGCGCGTTCAACGGTTCAGGGTATCCGGAGGAAACCGCCACCAACATCATCACTACCTCGGAGAAATTGCAGGAGAGGAGGTAGACGATGAACTTGAGGATGTTGTCGTAAATTTTTCGGCCTTCCGCCACGGCGACGACGATGGTGGAAAAATTGTCGTCGGCCAGGATGATATCCGCCGCCTGTGAGAGTAGATAAATAGAAGTTTGGAATGGGCCGTGGGTCGTATCGATCGCGCGAGGGAGAGGAGACTACGAAGGAGAGAGGGTGTGTGGGCAGTACGAAGGAGGGGTCCCGGTGTACTTCGTATCCGCTTTGCAGAGATATGCACATTCCCGCGGCGCATTCGAACGCCTCCATTCCTTGCAAGCCCTGCCTTTCCCCCCGATTCCTCCCTCGTTCATGCCGCGTCTACACACCTGACGGGTAATGTCCGTCCCGGAACGGCCCATGGCCACCCCGACGTTGGCCTGTCGGATGGCAGGTGCGTCGTTGACCCCATCCCCCGTCATAGCGACCACGTCTTTGCGAAGCTGCAGGGCCTTGACGATGTTCAGCTTGTTGTCGGGCGTGACTCGGGAGAAGACGACGGGAAACGGGTCCAACGTGGCGAGTTGCTCCACCGTCATGGAGGCGAGGGCGGAACCGTTCAACACCAGCGCATTCGAGTCCATCCCAGCCTCTAGAATCCCCACGGAACGGGCAATGGAGGAGGCGGTCCGGACGTGGTCGCCCGTGATCATCACCACACGGATACCCGCGGCGTGGCAGGCGGCAATGGAGGCAGCTATACCCCTTCGTGGGGGATCTGCCAACCCCACCATGCCCACAAAGACCAAGGAGGTCTCCACGCCGTTCTCGTCCCCGCCCGCCTCGGGATTGCCGGCGTTGCCCGGGAGGAATCGCACCGCCAAGGCCAGGGTCCGCAGGCCTTGGGTGGAAAAGGCGTCACACCAGGCGTCCGTCTCTTGGAGCTTGGCATCAGTCATCGGATGGGTTTGGCCTTCCTGGTCCATCCAAGTGGCGCAGAGGCCGAGCAAGACTTCCGGGGCCCCTTTGGAGAGAACGACCCGGGACGTATCCGACAAATGCCGCAAGAGGGGGGGACGGTCGGTGGGGGCCGTGGGGAGGATAGAACAGACTACGGACATGCATTTCCGGTCCGAGTCGAAGGCGATTTCTTCCTGCCGGTGCAAGCACGCCGTTGGCCAGGCTAAACCCACGTCGGCCATCAAGACCTTCATGGCCACCTCCGTCTGATCTCCAATGCCGGTCCTGGCTCCGTCTGCTCCTGGTTCCGGGCTCAGTGTTGAGTTGTTGCAGAGCTCCATCACCGCCAGCTGCCACCCGGCCGCCCAGTCCCGCGCCGACACCGTCTCTGCCCTTTCTCCCCGGTCCTGCTTCCCCTTGCCCCCCCCCCCCACGGCGGTTTGCAACGCGTGCGGTACCATGTGGGTGGCGGGGGCCTCCACGCCCGCCAACCCGAATCGAGTCGCGTCCTTCTCCCGCCCTAGCCTGGGGACTGGCACCAAGAGCCCACCGGCAGGTGCCCACAACAGCCGGGCGCGCATGACCCCCTCCGTAATAGTACCCGTCTTGTCCGAGCAAATCGTCGTGACGGAGCCCAAGGTCTCCACGGCGGGGAGTTGACGGACCAAGGCGTTCCCTTTCGCCATCCGTTGCATGCCTAACGCCATGGTCAACGTGACGATGGCCACCAGCCCCTCCGGGATGACGGAAAGGGCGAGGGAGACGCCGACTTTGATGATGTTCATGTCGTGCGGATCCCAAGCGATGCCCGCCACCACCACCAGGGCGCAGGCCAGGACGGCCACCACCACCAAGTGCTTGCCCAGCGCGGCCATTTTCTGTTGCAGCGGGGTTTTTCCTACCCGGGTGCCGGCAATGGCGACGCTGATGCGGCCGATCTCGGTGGTGCTGCCCGTGTTTACCACCACGCCGATACCGCGCCCTCGGCTGACCACGGTGCTCTGAAAAACCATGTTCCGGCGGTCTCCCAATGAGACACGGCGGTGGCCCTGGATGGCATCCGTGGATTTTTCTACGGGGACGGACTCTCCTGTCAAGAGGGTCTCAATCACAGCGAGTTGTGAGACTTCGCACAGGCGGAGGTCGGCCGGCACAGCGTTCCCTTCCTCCAGCACCACAATATCCCCCGGAACCAGCTCCCCGGCGTCCACCACACAAGTCATGCCCGCCCGCACCACCTGGCATTGCGGGACCGAGAGGGAAGCCAGGGCAGAAATCGCTCGCTCCGCGTTCCATTCCTGGTAGAATCCAATGGTCGTGTTCAGCGTGACCACCACCCCGAGGACGATGGCCGTTTTGAAGTCCCCCAGGCCTGCACTGACAACGCACGCTCCCAACAAAATGACGACGATCAAGTCGGCGAGCTGCCGGAAAAGGATACCCAGAAGGGAGGCACGGGCCATGGGCGGCGTCCGATTGTCGCCGTACACTTCCCGTCGGGCCGACACGTCCGTCGCCGCCAGCCCCTCGGTTAGACGGGTGCGAAACATGCACAACACCTTCTCCACCCCTGTGTCCCAGTACTCGCCTTTGGGAGCCAAGAGGGGCTTGAGCGTCTGGGTGTTTGCGTCGGGCGCATTGAAGCCCCCGGCAGCCTCGCAGTACTTGGCAAAAACTTTGCGAGCGCCTGGTTCTACTAGCTCTACCCAGTCACCGCACGAATCCAAAATCCCCACCAAGAATATCACCGTCGTCACCGCCAGACGCCGGAGTTCCTCCACGGAAATCTTCATGGAGGACCAGCCCACCACGTGGCTGACATCAGCAGGGACATCGTCGTCCTCCTCCACCTCCTTTACCGACAGCCATAAATGCACAGTTAAGGCCCGCCTGATATCTGCTACCGACATCTTGGTATTCACAACTTCGCGGAAGCTACCCACGTCCTGGAGCATGCCACAGAAAATGATGAAGGCAAAGACTGCTTCGCGGGTGGGCATAGGCTTTGCCAGAAACGGGACGTGTCCTCGCATTTTGACGCGTCCCGTGAAGAGGAGCAGGACCTGCCGCACCCGCTCCATGAGTTCCTTGCTGAACGCGGCATCAGGCAAGCCCCGAATACGCATGCGCCACACGTAGTGCAGTCCAAAAAATGCTTCACGGAGGATCAGTTCCTCTGAAGCGGAGATTGTAGTTTGGGATCCGTACATGAGCAAGTCTTCGAGCAACAAGCTGATGTGTTGCTCGATAGAATGAATGCCGTCCAAGAATCCGAACGATGCATGCTTTTTATGAAATTGGGCTCCTCGGCTGCGAGAAATATTAACAGTATCTAGCGTCAGAATTTGCGTTGCTTCGTTGCGTGGGAAGGTGTCCCCGGCCTTTTTGGTGTCTCCTTTACGGCGTCGTTCATGGTCTTGCGACATGCAAGGCGGCTTCGCGTCGCAATCAAGGGAGTTGGCGAATGCGTCTGACAATGTTCCTGGCCTACAGTTTGGTATTGGTTTATTGCCCTGTGTTGATTTCAGGCGCGCTTGTAAATTGTTTAGTTGGCAAATTTAGCTCCTTTTGCGTGTTCTGCTAACGGGAAGATCGAAAGCTATGTCGAAGTGGATGCACTTGCCATGCTTCACATGACTTCAAATATCACTTGAAGCAAAACATCTGCAACATCACGACAGATATCGACAGAGACAATGCGAGAGGGTCCAAACCGCCATGGGGAGAGAGAGGCTGGAAGCGGCTCCCATAGACAACAGGACCACATAGCCATGGCGTATGTCCAAATGAGCCGTTACCCAAAATTTCGGGGTTTCATCCAAAAAATCAAACTTCCGGATGAAACGGTCAAGGGCGTTGGCTACTTGTGGACCGAATGGGAGGGAGGCCGTCAACCTCCGTTTTGGAGCTGAAAGTCGGGAAGTCATGAATGAAAAACGAAAGATTGGCGGAAACTCTTCAAATTATGTCGTGCGATAGCATGTTTGGATTTTTAAAACCGGGGTTTCCCGGATTGACTTTATTTCTAGCTAAGGACCACCAGGCTCCTGTTGTAGACTCCATACGATGAGACAGAAACGACCTGACGCCTTTTTCAAATTGTCACGACAAGAAAAGACATATTTCGTCATGTTCCGTGGCATTTATGCTCCACTTCACCGTTGGCTGAAAAGTAAAAAACAGGGAGGCTCGTGGGAGGCAGAGTGCAGGCGCAGTCCCCGGTATTTGTGGACCGAGAACACAGCTGCAGCTGAACGCATCTGAGAGACAGACGGGAGGGGGCGTGCACACAGACAGGGACCAGTAATAGCCTGTCTAAGGCATAGGAGGGCGTGCATGATATGTTTTAATACTGTAGTAACGTAGCCTGAAGTTCTTCGTGGCCCTGGTGCCATTTGAGGATGGCAATAAGCGAAGAGGCAGTTAAACCGTTGCCGGTGCCTTCTTCATCGGAGACTCATGTTCTCTCTGGTAAGCTCTGTCCACACCAAGTAATACTGACATTTCTGTCGTCGCACATGCCAGCACATTGCCTAGGACGTCCATTCCGGTTCGTGGCACGACCAAGACCATGGCCTCCACAAATAGCGGAGAAGGTGGGTGCTTTAAGACCGTTGGCATATAAAAAGGTCCTAATACAGTTTCATCACCGTAAACGTGTCTCATGTTCCCAATTTCCTCGGGGCAGGCGACTTCATGGCGCCATCTTACACAGAAAGTGCTTCCGCGGCATTGCTTCGAGATGCCGAGACCGGTGGAGGGCAAATGAGGTCTGACGCAACTGGCGCAGGGGAGGATGTTCCCGCAGGTAAGTAGGAGTGGTCTTATAACACCATGTGGAGGAAAATGCCGCGAGAGGGTGGCAATGTACGGCCTTCATGGACATTATCCTTACACTGTAGTCATGTACGACCTCACAACGAGGAGATCAAAAACAAAGTCTGCGTTGGTGGCTAGCGTGCCTGTTTTTTTGATTACCCCTCTTCCGAATCTACCGCCCCTGCGCGCCTATCCCCTTCTAAATGCCCCCACATCCTCTGTACCTCTTTCTGGTCATGGTCTTTTTACCCTGGCACCGGTCGTAGGAGGCCTCTGTAGCTGCCTGTCGATCCGGTATTACCAACCTTACTTCGATGTGGACACTCAGCATGTCGTGGATCGCATCAAGTACGCCCTCTTCCCTTTCAAGAAAGAATCGACGTTCATCCAGGTGCGTACTTGATGTTGCCCGTCTTGCTTTCCATACCCTCTCCCCCTTTTTCTCGTTTGGTCGCGGGCATCCTCGTCCCCTTTGTAGGAGTGTCAGGGTGGTAGCGCCATCCCACCCTCCCTCCCTCCCTGATCCCGTGATACACAGCTCCTCGGGCCTAATCCTGACGCCTATGGGCCATTTTGGGTGGCCACCAGCCTCATTTTTGTCATAGCCGTGGTATCGAACGTGAGCTCCTATTTTCAATTCGTCGGGACGGAGGGGAGTGCCTGGTGAGGAAGGGGAGGAGGGAGGGAGGGTGGAGGAATAGGGAGGGTATGCCCAAATCATGGAATGAGAGAAAGGATGGGGAAGGGGGGGGGAAAGAACAGGGAGGATGAGCCTGAATCATCGAGCGAGAGAATGGATGAGGAGGGATGACAGAAGCTGGGCAGTGAGCATAAGGCCTTCGGGTCCGCGCCACGCTCATGTAGTGCCGACATTGCCACCCCATTCACCCTCCCTCCCTTCCTCCC